ATATTTATCTGTAGTATATATATGTAATATATATACATCTGCAATACATATCTATCTGTAATATGTTTGTATATGTATATGTATACGTGTAAGTGTATGTATATGTATATAATATAGTATATTCTGAAGCAGTCTGACTCTACAGAGGTTTTTATTTCTGGTCCTGGTTAGACTCTGGGGTATTGTTTACTAGCCAATGGTTGTAAGTTGATTGTATTTGTCCTTTTATTTTAAAAGGCATTTATTCACCAGTAAGGGTCTGGATCCAGGTCGATTCAGTATTCTGAAGCAGTCTGATTCTATAGAGATTTTGATTTCTGGTTCTAGTGAGACTCTGGGCCAGGTTTTAATCAAACATTCTTCTGGTCTGTCCTTTCGCTGTTCAGAGGCATCTCATTGCTGCAATGATGCTAAACTCTGTGACACTGATTGTCAAATGCGATAATGGTTACCTATGGTGGACAGTGTTAGGTGGAGCTCCCCGATTAAAACAAACTTGGAAGCAGGAGTGACATTCACTTCCAAAATAGCTTGCCTCTAAAAACTCTATGAACTTGGATTAACAAGGGAAGTTATACAAGTGTTCAGGTCTTTCATTCATAGGGTTGCTATGAATCATCTAAGACTCAATGGCACTTAACAACAACAACAACTTCTATAATCTATATATCTGTAACACATCTCTGTAATATATATATGTAACATATCTTTAACATATATATCTGTAACATATATGCATACCTGTAACAAATTTTTATATCTATAACATATATATATTGCAAAATATCTATCTGTAACATACATATGTAACTTGTATCTATATCTGTATCATATAGATCTGTAACATATATATCTAGATATATTGTTTGTTGTTGTTGATTGCCTTCGAGTGGAGCATGACTCACAGTGACTCTATGAACAAAAGGCTTGAAGCCCCTCTATAGCTATCTACATTTATCAAAATTCATAGTTTCCAGAGGAAGTGATGCCTTTCCTGCTTCCAAATATGTACACATATATAGATATATAGATAGAGATAGAGATATATAGATATATATTACTATATTGATATATAAATGATATAAATATAAATAAATATATAAAATGATGGCCTAGTGGCAACAAGCTGTTCTGCAATAACAAAGGCAAGCAGTTTGAAGCCACCAACTGCTCCACAGAAGAAGGATGACCAATCTCCTTCTGTGTGATTAACTCTGAAAACCTGTCAAAGGATCAGCTATGCATCATTTGCAACTCAATAGTTCACAACAGCAACTATATATCTATATCTGGAATATGTATATCTTTATTTCATATATATCTCTATATCTACTATCCATCATCTATCTATCTATCTATCTATCTATCTATCTATCTATCTATCTATCTATCTACCTATCTATCTATCTAAATATTCTAGTGGATGTAGAGACCTCTGTTGACCTGGTGGATAAAGAATTGTGTTACTAACACAAAGACAGTTCAAATCCACTAGGTTCTCTTCAGAAGTAACATGATAAATCTCTTCCTAAGCAATTCACCTAGGGTTTCTGAAGTAAGTTCAAGCTGCTCTGAGGGAATTGGCATAAACACGATCTCAGGAACTGACATACCAACTGACATATTTTAACAAACAGATGCTGCTCTGGATGTGCTCACCATATTGTGCCAAGAAATTTGGAAGACAACCACTGGAACAACTGACTGGAAGAGATCCATATTTGTTCCCATTCCAAAAAAGGGAACTAGACAGAGGAGGAAACAATCAAACAATATCATTAATATCACACAAGTAAGATCCTGATGAAAATTATCCAAAAAGAACTGGAACAGTACATCAACAGACAACTTCCTGAAGTGCAGAGTGGATTTAGAAGACTATAGCCAATGTTAAATAGACCAATGTTAGATGAAAGTAGAGAGCACCAGAAGAATGTCTATCTGTGTTTCATTGACTATATGCAAAGGCATTTAGTTGTGTGGATCACTACAAACTGTGGCTAACTCTGAGAAGAATGGGAATCCCAGAACACTTGATTGTGCTTTTGTGAGACCTATATTTGGATCAGGAGGCAGTCATCAGAAAAGGGCAAGGAATCACCGCATGGTTCAAAATCAGAAAAAGAGTGCATCAGGGATACATCCTATCTCCATAACTTTTCAATCTATATGCGGGAAAGATCATCTGGGAATCTGGGCTCTATGAGGAGGAATGTGTCATTAGAATTGGAGGAAGATTGACTCATCAACAACCTGCATTAGGCAGGTGACACAACCTTGCTTGTCAAAGCTGAGGAGCATCTGAGGCATTTGCTGTAGAATGTCAAGGTCTACAGCCTTCAATATGGATTGAAGTTCAACGTCAAGAAAACAAAGATTCTCACCACTGGGACAATTAGCAGCATCATGATAAATGATAAAGAAATTGAGATTGTTAATATCTTCAGCTTGCTTGGCTCCACAATCAACACTCTTGGTACCAGCAGCCAGGAAATCAAAACACGAATTGCACTGGGAAAATATGCTCTCAAGGATCTCTCTAGAGTTCTGAAGAGCAAAGACATCAGTCTAGAGATTAAGATGTACCTGATCTAAGCCATGATCTTCAATATTAATCACTTACTTTACATTGAGAGCTGGACAATGACTTAGAATGATAAAAGGAGAAGTGATGCCTTGGAGTTGTTCTGGAGAAGTGTATTGAATGTACCATGGACTGCTAGGAGAACAAACATGCTCGTCCTGAAGAGGATGAAACCAAGCTGCTACATGGAGGCAAGTATTTTGATGCTCCATCTGATATACTTTGGGCATGTTACAAGGAAGGACCAGTCCTTGGAGAGGGCCATCATGCTTGGAAGAATAGTGCAAGAGAGGAAGGCCCTGAATGAGATGGATTGACTCAGTGATTGGGGAAATGGAGGTATGTGTGTCAGAGACCATGAGGTTGGCTCAAGATAGAGCAGGTTTCATAACTGTTGTACATAGGATCACTAAGAGTCACAAGCACCTCGATGGCACATAACAACAACAAAAACAACTTCAGACATCCATTTCTGGTTTGTTTTCTTTCTCTTGTCATCCCACAACTCATATGATTTTCAGTCATTATTATTCAATGCTTCAAACCTATTCTTAAGATTTTTGAAATTCAAGGGAGCTCTGGTGGCCTAGTGGCAAGAAGCTGCACTGTAATCTCAAAGGTACGTAGTTCAAATCCACCAGATGCTAGTTGGAGAAGGAGGGGCAATCTCCTCCTGTACCAGTCAGATCTAATTTGACGGTACACACACACACACAAAAACCCCAATGTTGGTTTAAAAAAAAAATTGAAATTCAGGTGGAATAGATTCAAGATCTTAATGCCTTCAAGTAGTGGTGCTGGAAAAGTATACTGAACATACTGTGGTCTGCTAAGAGAACAAACATTAATGTACTGGAGAAAGTGAAATGAGGCTATTCTTTATTTTTGTATTTTTAATAGTAAACTAATGCAATATTTTCCCCTTTGTGACTGGCATATTTAACACAGCACAATGTGCTCTAAATTCATCTATGTCATTCAGTTTTTCACAAAGCCTTTATTGTTTTTCGATGTTGCATATTACTCCCTTGTGTGAATATACTTTTTTAGCCATTCATCCATTGATGGGCACTTGGATTGTTTACAACTCTAATAATGATGCATTAAATATGGTTGTAAGTAAGTGACTTCATGTTGTAGCTCTTATTAGACTAGACAACTGACTGTGATTACTGGACCAAATGACATTTCCGTTTTCAATTTTTTTAAGATCCTCTGTTTCCTAGTGGTCAGAAACTGTGCTGCAATAGCAAAGGCATGTGATTCAAATCCACTACCCTCAACAGAAGCATGAACAATCTCCTCCTGTATAATTTATTGCCTCTGAAAACCCATTAGAGGGTCATATACAGATTGGTTCTGACTTGATGGTAACGAACAACAAACTGTTTCCACAGTAGTGGCACCATTTAACATCCCCACCAGCAGTATAAAAGTTCAGTCTCACCACACCAGCATTTACTGTCTGAATTTAAAGGAAATTTTTAGAAGAAACACCATCTCTGTCATAAAAATTCCCTGGAGCCATGGACAGATGCAATTCTGTGGAATCTTAGTAGAGAAAAGAGATTGTCATGAGCTATTGGGGAGCCTACACACAGAAGCAGAATGGTCTCTTCTAAGCAGCAGGCAGCAGTGGGCAGAGCAGTGGGGAGGCATGAGCTGTCTCTTGAGGGTCTCTGGTCTCCCTGTCACATGATGGCTGTGTCTGAGGCTGGGCTGCAGGGAGCGCTCGTGGTCCATTCGTGAGGTGCCCATGGGTGATTACAGATGGGAACCAGGACACTGGCCCACCCTGGTGCTCTCAGCTGTGGCCTTCCACACCCACAGAAATGACACATCAGAAGCACTGTCCCACCTCCCTGGATGTCCTCACTCACAGAAGCTTGACTCAGGCAAGGCCCAGGGTGGGAGTCACAAAAAAAATGAGATTAAACTCATCTGCATGGATGGACCCTCCCTTCTCTCAGAGTATGAAGAGGGCTTGGGGAAGATGAGGAAGCCCTGCAGCAACAGTAGGTCAAAGGAAGACAGGACTCAGGGAAATCTCCACCATGGCCTGGGTCACTCTCCTTCTCTCCCTCTTGGCTCACTGACTATATTGGGGTCAGAGGAAGGGTTATTGGAAGAGACATGGGGCCCTCTTTTCTCCTCCTTCCTCTGGACTCTAGGATCACAATCTCTGTGTTTCTCCACTTGCAGGATCCTGGGCCCAGTCTGTGCTGACTCAACCGCCCTCAGTGTCCAGAAACATGGGCCAGCAGGTCACCATCTCCTGCACTGGGAGCAGCACCAACTTTGGCAGTTACTCTGCAGGCTGGTACCAACAACTTTCAAGCCAACCCCCTAAACTCCTCATCTATGCTAATAACCAGCGACCCTCAGGAATCCCAGACAGATTTTCAGGTTCCAAGTCTGGCAACTCAGCCTCCCTGACCATCACTGGGCTTCAGGCAGAGGATGAGGCTCATTATTTCTGCCAGTCCTATGACAGCAGCCTGAGTGATCACACAGTGCTCCAGGCCTGCAGGGAAGTGAGACAAGAATCCCTTTCTCATCTGCCAGGAGAGGAACTCCCCGCTGCTCATGCTTCTCCATGGGGATCACCTGCTCTGAGCCCCCTCCTCTTTCTTCTGTCCTCTGAGTCACTCACTGACAGTCACCCCTCCCAGGCAAAGCGGTTCAGAGGAGAGAGTCCTTCTCCCTTCTGCATGAGAAACAAACTCTTTGCATTAATGCCCAGGGCTGAGTGGATCATGTAGCTATGATGATCGAAAAGTCCATCTGTGATAAGAATAACTAGAGTCTCCATCATCAGTTATCCATGTTTCTGGAGTTTCCAGATCAGACCGATGCCATCCTCTAAGTCATCCGCTGTGGGATTCTCTAAACTTTGTTTTTCCTCAAGCTAATTTCATTTATACAGATAGACATTGTTGTTGTGTACTGTTGAGTCAGAACTGACCAATAGCTGACCCTCAAGCAGGTTTTCAGAGGCAGATAATCACACAGGAGGAGAATGCCCATCCTTCTCCCATGGAGGAGCTCGTAGGTTTGAACAGTGTGCCTTCAGAATTGTGGTGCAGTTTGTTACTACCAAGCCACCAGAGCTCCTTAGATAGATAGATGAAAGAAAGCAGATACATACATAAGAACATACATACATACATACATACAATAGATGACAGATAGGTAGATGATAGATAGATAGATAGATAGATAGATAGATAGATAGATAGATGATAGATAGATGATAGATGAGAGAGAGAGAGAATGATGCAGAGTTCTGTTGATCTAGTGGATAAAAAGTTGGCTGCCAGTCCAAAGACAAGGTATTCAGATCTACCAGGCACTGTGCAGGAGGAAGTTGGAAAACCCCCTTACAAGTAATTTCCATACTAAAAAAAAATACTCCAGAAACCTACTCAGGGTCAGCACGTATTTGTTCTGACTGGAAGGCAACGAGATTGGTAGAAAGGAAGATAGTCCATGAAAATTACACCCTGGAACCTCTATGGAGAAATGCTACACATAAACTTTGGGAGACATAAGACCCTGGAACATTTCTGTGAGATGAGTGATCACAGCTGGTGGTGCTCAAATCTCTCAAAGCGAGGTCTAGGTAGGTGATCTCTATAACAGCTCAGCCATGGTATCCTCTCTGGGTCTGGCAAGGTTTTCTGAACCCAGGCCTTTGTGGTCCCTGCAGCTGCTCCTCCCAAGCCCTTCCCAGGGCAACTGAAGCATCATGGTCAGGCTACCTGTCCACAGGCCCCATTCAATGTAGAACCAGAGCCCTCTGAGAGGGCATGAGTCAGGAAGTGGGTGGGCCTGGATTTGCCTGGGGGGCTCCTACTCCCTGAACCAAAGTGGAGAGGATAAAAGAGGCCAGGACCAACCCAGCTGCAGACCTGAGATCCTAGCATTACTGTATCCACCATAACCTGTTCCCCTTTCCCACTGCATAGGTAGAAACTAGGGAGCTCCGGTGGACTAGTGGCAAGAAGCTGCACTGCAATTCCTAAGGCACATGGTTTGAGGTCACCAACAGCTCCTTGGGAGAAGGATGGGCAATCTCCCTTGCAATTAACTGCCTCTGAAAACCTTCTGGTTGGTTCCAACTTGACGGTACCCAACAAGAAGTAGAAACTGGACTCAGAGAACGGGGGCAAATTCACAGCCTATGCCAGGCCATTCAGTTTAGAAGCCAAGACATGATATCGTACTCCTCACCTGCCACCCATGAATGTCCTACCACCCAAGAATGTCTGGATTGCAGAGCCTCTGCCCCACGTATGCTAACTCAGCAGACTTCTCCATTGTTCTTCTCCCTGGGACAAACAGTCAAGCTCACCTGCACCCTGAGCAGTGGCTAAGGTGGCAGCTGTGTTGAGTGTTACCGGCAGACGGGAGGAAGGTCTCCGAAGCTGTGATGAGAGTGAGCAGCAGTGGTATATCTGAATCCAAGGGAGATGACACCTGAACATCCAAGACATGCAGTCAGGAGAGGAGACTAATTACCACTTGAGGACATCCTCCACTATTGGGGGCAGCTATGTGTGACCATAGTGCCATGAGCAGAGAACGAAGTGAAACAAAATCTTCCCTGTTAATTCCCTGTGTGATTGACATCTCGGGAATTAGCTCTCTAACCCACACTGTGAGTTGTCACTTCAGTAGGTATTTTGGTAAGTCAGCACTCAAATGTGAAAATAATGTCTTTCCTGGTCCATCAGGACCGCAAAGATTTCTTTGTGTTATGATTTTTATTTTTTTTTTAACTAACCACAGCAAATTTATTTCTCAATATCCAGTGCCACATCATAGCGCCACCTGGAGCCCTCACCTTTCCCCCAACCCCACCTTGCCCCAAGAGTACACCCAAAATGGAAAAAAGAACACCAAAAACACCAACCAAAAAACCCTCCAAACTCAACCAAAAAACAAAAGCACACCCAGATCTCTGCTCCTCCTTTGAAAGCTGGGCCTTGATCCTGGAAGGCCCTGACAGGCCCCAGCAAGCAGGAGCAGACCCCACTGTGTCCAGAGAGCATGAACCAAGCTCTGATGACAGAAAAGGCAGGTAGGAGCAGGAACAGAGGCCCAGGTTGCGGGGCAATGAGGCGGGCAGTCACTCCCTGAGGAGTTTAGGAGTCTGTCACCCAGGGAGGTCAGTCATGGGGGTTGAACATGTGGAAAATTCTGGGCAATAGGGTCTTTCCCTGAGGATTAGCACTTTGATGGCTCAAGGGACATTCAGTGCAACCCATCCTACAGGCCTGTGTCTTGAGTGGCACAGATGGCCTGAATGCCCCACATGTGGCTGTGCAAGTGCTGGACTCCCAGCTTAAAGGTTAGCTTGCTCACAGGCATGGCATCAGCACCACCTCCCACAACTTGTGCTCCGGTAGCATCTTCTGGAGTTCGACAGCAGATTCCTGGGCCTGCTCTTGGTCATTACTGTCTACCTTGAAGATGAGGCCCTGAGTGTTCTGAAATTGGTGCCTCCACAGAGGTCGAATCTTGTCTTGGCTCCCACGTCCCAGACTCCGAAGTGGGTGTTCTTATATATATTACCCCGCCTTTGGTGGGGATGGAGTTGAAAATCTCCCCCAACTTTAGTTTGTACAGAATTGTGGTCTTTCCAGCTGCATGCAAGCCAACCATGAGGATCCGCATCTGCTTCTTCCCCAAGATCCACGAGAAAAGCACGGACATGGTGAAGCCATGGGAGACAGGCAGGGGGCATGGGTGCATGGTGCAGACTGGAGGCTGCTGCCCGGGGGGCAGGAGAAAGAGGCACCGCCCTGTGTCGTGAAATATTTTCATAAACACTTTCTACAACATGCTGTTTTATACATGGACTTGTGTGTGTGTAACCACTTATGCCTGTGCTGATGGATATTTCATTGTCCAAATGCATGTCTATTTATAGGTATAATGCGATCCCCAAGCCTTGGTGGCCTGGTAGGTAAGGAGTTGAACTGGCAACCCAGAGCAAGAAGGGAAAACACTTCTCATGTTGTTTGCAGTCTCTGAAAACCTGATGGAGGGTCAGCTGTGAGTCAATTCAGACTTGACAACAAAAGAGAGAGAAACTCACAAGGAAGAAACAATATTTTTCCTTGGAAATGCAAGACCTTGACCCTTACCTTGGGATCACACATGTGTGCATGGCCTCAGATGACTTTCACTCTCTCCCCATATCATCCTCACTATGCATAATCATCAGGTTGTACATATCGAAACTTGATGTTGGATATCCAACAGAACATTACCACATACAAGAGCATGAGAATGGCTGGGCTCAGATCTGGAAAGTTCCATCAAGATGGAATGAGGACTCACTTAAAGTTCTCTTGAAAGAAAATATGTCACCAATTCTGAACATAAACTTATTGCTTCCACAAACACATAAGACAGACTTGTTAAATAAGGCTATTAATAAAATTTCCATATCAAGCTCTAAAGACAAAGATTTAGAAATTGAGAATCTCTGCCAAATTATGTAGATGAATTTGATCAAATGTGCAATCAAAAAGCACTGTGGCATATAAGTTCACAAATAATAGCAAACACATTGTCTTCAGTGCAATTGCCTATCAATATATAAAAACAAACATCCATAAAAATTGACCAATAAACTGCAACCTGATTAAAGGTGATTGAGTAATAATAACAGCTCTGATCAACACACATTAGAAGGCTCAAAATATAAAGAGCATAGACTTCTAGTTTTGTAGAACACTGACAAAGTAATCTAGGCCCATGAAAATGCTTTTGTAGTGACAAAGAAGGAAACATATTTTCAGGCAAGCTGTCCTAGGGTCAGAGCGCATGATGGGTCATGACACTAAAGTGTTCAGTGATACCTGATTTAGGTCTGTGAACTTAAGTAGCTCCATCTAGCACATCATATACAGGAAACCTACTATGTGACTTATTAGGATCCAGGTTCTTAAGGACCAAGTATGAACAAGACAAGAGCTTGAAGAATCCTGAGTAGTGCCCAATTCCCTGAATATACTCTTCTCTGATGACTCCTGTAGCATCTGCTGTGGGGATTAGGGGGCATTTGCAGATATGTTTAGCTGAAGAAGGAGATTGGGATATACTCATGCTTCCCCCTCCCTACATTTCTCTGACTCCACTGAGACAGAGACCAGTCCATCCTGAATCACATGTGGATGGAGGAGAGGAAGTAGAAGAGAGTCCAAAAGCAGGAGGGAGATCTGTTGACCTGAATAGATATTGGGGATCACTACTTTGCTGGAGAGCACCCTCCCTTAGGGGCTCAGTGATGTCTCAGATTTTAGGTACCATCGTCTCCTGCTTTCATACCAGACACACTTAGGGAATCACTTACATAAACCATTTTAGAGTCAAGGAAATATTTTTGTTTGTTGTGTGATAAAAGTCACAGAGAGTATGTTCTTAGCCACTCTTCACATTAATATATTTCCACCCCTATGGAAGAGGCCTTTTCTTCTCCATTTTTCAGGAGTGAGAATTAAAATACAAGGAGTCTGAATCCCTTTGAGGTGCCCTAAGAGTCAGTGGCTGAATCAATGTGGGAAAAATTTCCTGTGACACTATGTTTGTCTCAAACATGTCAGAAACTGTTCTCAAGACTTACCTGCTACACAAGATAATATGTAATCTGTATCCTTCTAGAATATGGTGGTTTCTTTTGTTCTGCACATACTAGATGCCCCCTTAAATATCTGAAATAAGGAACACCTGACATGGATTCCAATGCACCTTTCCTGTGTCACAGAGACAGTTATGGTAGAGCTGGGTTGTAGAAGGCTCAGATGCACTAAAGAAAATCTCTAACATAGGACATGTTTCTAAAGTTGAACTGGGGAGAAGAGCATTAAGGATACTATGAGAAGCAAAAAAAAAAGTGAAAAGAATTCCGCAGGATACCATTTCTAGGCAGTAGAGACACTACTGAGTCACCCCAAGGTTCAATGAGGGTGGTCCCAGGGACGACAGCTACCACATACCTCCTTCTGTGCTTGTTCCCAGCATCCCTCATTCTGGGATACCTCAAATGTGCCACTATAGTTCCCAACTCCTTTCCCCCCCTGGGATTTGAAAGAGTGGAGACAAGCTATAGCTCTCCCTTGCTGTGCAGACTCATGAATTCTGGCTCAGGCCCTGGGGATGGGGAGATGACTACTTCTCAGAGGATTAATGACTTTATGAATGGAGAAGCCATTCCATTTCCTTACTATCTATTAAACTAAGGGTGTCATGTGGTGCAGTCCATAGGAAGTTGTGCTGCTAACCTAAATGTGGATCCTCTCTGGTACTTTGGATTTAACAGCTAATCTGTGAGAGAAAGATGGGTCATCTTCTTCCTTGTTATTTACGACCTCAGAAAATCTGATAGAGAATCAGACATGTGTCAATTCTGACTTGAGGACAGCAAGTCTGAATCTACTAAACTAAGTAACACAGTTAATCTAGTCAAACTACACAACAGAAGTCAGATTGGTAAAAAATCCTGAAAATTCTACCTGTAAAATTTGTTCTAATTTATTCCTTTACTCTTTTAATTTACCCCAACTTACTTCTTTTCTTTTACTCCCTCTTACTCCTATTTGCAAATATTTCCTTCAAGAAAATGTAATATTTTTTAGATTTTGCACTGCTCTCTCTTATTGTGCTCCCTGTCATGTGTGTCTAGGTCTGAGGCAGCAAAAGGGTGCTGTAGTCTGTCTGTGTCCTGTCCCAGCTGAGACTCACCCACCAGCTTCTCCTCTGGGTATTTCTGCCTGGGCCTAACTGGATTTCAGAGTTATGACATATCAGGCTCCCTGGAACCAGAGACTACAACTCCCTCCCTGGATGAAGTTTCTTTTTTTTTTTTTTAATTTCTTATTTTAATTGTGGTTTTAATGAAAGTTCATGGAAAAGTTGGACTTTCCATTCAGTCATTATTGCACATTTTTCTCCCTTTCCCCTTCCCCAGTTCATGTTCTTTTTTGAAAATATTCATTCACTGTTGCACAACCCTCTTTACCCTCCCCTTCCAGCAGCCTTTTTGCAATGTACCTTGTTATCTTACATATAATGTCTTTTAAACAGTTCTCTCCCTCATCTGTTCCACTGGAGTGCTCATTATTGAGCCACTCTTCCTGTTCTCCTCCCAACCTTAAATACAGCACTACCGTTGTTTGTTGTTAGGTACTATCGAGTCAAGTAACCCTATGAATAAAAGATCTGAACCCAGTCCTCTCCTGCGCCGTCATCACAATTCCTGACATACAAGAGCCCATTGCAGCAGTAATCATGTCAGTTCACCTGGTTGAGGGTCCTTCTCTCCTTTGCCGACTCTCCACCTTTCCCAACATCATGTCCCTCACCAAGGAATAGCACTTCTTGGCAATATGTAAAAAAAAAAAAATGTGAGGTAAAGCCTCATTATTCTTGCCTCCCAAGAGTTCTCTGGCTGTGCAATCTCCAAGACATATCTGTTAGTTCTATTGGCCTTCCATGAGATGTTCAGTGCTCTTCCCCAACACCACAGCTCAAAGGTGTAAATTCTTTTTCTGTCATCCTTATTCATTGTCCAGGTCTGGGAAGCGTAGCTAGTAATCAGAAAGGCCATGGCCTGAATCAAAGACACCTTAGTCTTCAAACAGACATCACTACTCCTCAATAATTTGGAAAGGTTCCTAACTGGAGATTTTCCCATTGCAATACATCTTGTACTAAGGGTGTTAATTGATAATGTTTAGGAAGAACGTTGTTCTAAGTGGTGCAGCACACACCTGTCAGTTTGATGTACTGCTATTACTTGGGATTGCTGTGATACTGAAATCTTTGCCACTGGTGTGTCAAATTCCAAAAGGGTTTCCCATCGTGGATGGATTTTGGTGGAACTCCCCGATTAAA